GTCTAATGGTAAGTTTGTCAGTGAGTTCTGGTTTAGGGAGTGTAATTGTAAGTTTGGCAGTGAGATCTATGTCAGGGCGTCTAATGGTATAGTTTGGCAGTGAGATCTATGTCAGGGTGTCTAATGGTAAAGTTTGGCAGTCAGTTCTGTGTCAGGGAGTCTAATCGTAAAGTTTGGCAGCGATATCTATGTGAGAAAGTCTAATCGTAAGTTTGGCAGTGAGATCTATGCAAGGAGTCTACTGGTAAGTTTGGCAGTGAGATCTATGTCAGGGGGTCTAATGGTAAAGTGTGGCAGTGAGTTCTGTTTTAGGGAGTTTAATGGTAAGTGTGACAGTGAGATCTATGCCAGGGGGTCTAATGGTAAAGTTTGGCAGTGAGATCTATGTCAGGTCGTGTAATGGTAAAGTGTGGCAGTGAGTTCTGTGTCAGGGAGTCTAATGGTAAAGTTTCTAAGTGAGATCTATGTAAGGGCGTGTAATGGTAAAGTTTGGCAGTGAGATCTATGTCAGGGAGTCTAATCGTAACGTTTGGCAGTGATATCTATGTCAGGAAGTCTAATGGTAAAGTTCGTCTGTGAGTTCTGTGTCAGGGAGTCTAATAGTAAGTTTGGCAGTGAGATCTATGTCAGGGGGTCTAATGGTAAAGTTTGGCAGTCAGATCTATCTCAGGAAGTCTAATGGTAAAGTGTGTCATTGAGTTATGTTCTAGGGTGTCTAATAGTAAGTTTGGCGGTGAGATCTATGTCAAAGAGTCTAATAGTAAAGTTTGGCAGTGAGATCTGTGTCAGAGGGTCTAATGGTAAAGTTTGGATGTGAGTTCTGTTTCAGGAATCTAATGGTAAAGTTTGGCAGTGAGATCTATGTCAGGGAGTCTAATCGTAAAGTGTGGCAGTGAGATCTATCTCAGGAAGTCTAATGGTAAAGTTTGTGAGTGAGTTCTGTTTTAGGGAGTCTAATAGTAGGTTTGGCAGTGAGATCTATGTCAGGGCGTGTAATGGTAAAGTGTGGCAGTGAGATCTATTTCAGGGAGTCTAATGGTAAGTTTGGCAGTGAGATCTATGTCAGAGAGTCTAATAGTAAAGTTTGGCAGTGAGATCTGTGTCAGAGGGTCTAATGTTAAAGTTTGGAAGTGAGTTCTGTGTCAGGAATCTAATGGTAAAGTTTGTCAGTAAGTTCTGTTTTAGGGAGTCTAATGGTAAGTGTGGCAGTGAGATCTATGTCAGGGGGTCTAATGGTAAAGTTTGGCAGTGAGATCTGTGTCAGGATGTCTAATGTTAAAGTTTGTCTGTGTTTTCTGTTTTAGGGAGTCTAATGGTAAGTGTGGCAGTGAGATCTATGTCAGGGGGTCTAATGGTAAAGTTTGCCAGTGAGATCTATGTCAGGGGGTCTAATGTTAAAGTTTGTTAGTGTTTTCTGTTTTAGGGAGTCTAATGGTAAGTGTGGCAGTGAGGTCTATGTCAGGGGGTCTAATGGTAAGTTTGGCAGTGAGATCTGTGTCAGGGTGTCTAATGGTAAAGTTTGTCAGTTAGTTCTGTTTTAGGGAGTCTAATGGTAAGTGTGGCAGTGAGATCTATGTCAGGGGGTCTAATGGTAAAGTTTGGCAGTGAGATCTATCTCAGGAAGTCTAAAGGTAAAGTTTGTCAGTGGGTTCTGTTTTAGGGAGTCTAATAGTAAGTTTGGCATTGAGATCTATGTCAGGGCTTGTAATGGTAAAGTGTGGCAGTGAGATCTATGTCAGGGAGTCTAATGGTAAAGTTTGTCAGTGAGATCTATGTCAGGGCGAGTAATGGTAAATTGTTGCAGTGAGATCTATGTCAGGGAGTCTAATGGTAAAGTTTGTCAGTCAGATCTATGTCAGGGGGTCTAATGTTAAAGTTTGTTAGTGTTTTCTGTTTTAGGGAGTCTAATGGTAAGTGTGGCAGTGAGATCTATGTCAGAGGGGTCTAATGGTAAAGTTTGGCAGTGAGATCTGTGTCAGGGTGTCTAATGGTAAAGTTTGTCAGTTAGTTCTGTTTTAGGGAGTCTAATGGTAAGTTTGTCAGTGAGATCTATGTCAGGGCGAGTAATGGTAAATTGTTGCAGTGAGATCTATGTCAGGGAGTCTAATGGTAAAGTTTGGCGGTGAATCTGTGTCAGGGGGTCTAATGGTAAAGTTTGGCAGTGAGATCTATCTCAGGAAGTCTAATGGTAAAGTTTGTCAGTGGGTTCTGTTTTAGGGAGTCTAATAGTAAGTTTGGCATTGAGATCTATGTCAGGGCTTGTAATGGTAAAGTGTGGCAGTGAGATCTATGTCAGGGAGTCTAATGGTAAAGTTTGTCAGTGAGATCTATGTCAGGGCGAGTAATGGTAAATTGTTGCAGTGAGATCTATGTCAGGGAGTCTAATGGTAAAGTTTGGCAGTGAGATCTGTGTCAGGGTGTCTAATGGTAAAGTTTGGCAGTGAGTTCTGTGTCAGGAGTCTAATGGTAAGTTTGTCAGTGAGTTCTGGTTTAGGGAGTGTAATTGTAAGTTTGGCAGTGAGATCTATGTCAGGGCGTGTAATGGTAGAGAGTGGCAGTGAGATCTGTGTCAGGGAGTCTAATGGTAAAGTTTGTCAGTGAGATCTATGTGAGAGGGTCTAATTGTAAGTTTGTCAGTGAGTTCTCTGTCAGGGAGTCTAATGGTAAGTTTGGCAGTGAGATCTATGTCAGAGAGTTCTAATGGTACAGTTTGGTAGTGAGATCTGTGTCAGAGGGTCTAATTGTAAAGTTTGGATGTGAGTTCTCTGTCAGGGAATCTAATGGTAAAGTTTGTCAGTGAGATCTGTGTCAGGGAGTCTAATGGTAAAGTTTGTCAGTGAGATCTATCTCAGGGAGTTTAAGTGTAAAGTTTGGCAGTGAGATCTGTGTCAGGGAGTCTAATGGTAAAGTTTGGCAGTGAGATCTATGCAAGGAGTCTAATTGTAAGTTCGGCAGCGAGTTCTGTGTCAGGAGTCTAATGGTAAGTTTGTCAGTGAGTTCTGGTTTAGGGAGTGTAATTGTAAGTTTGGCAGTGAGATCTATGTCAGGGCGTGTAATGGTAGAGAGTGGCAGTGAGATCTATGTCAGGGCGTCAAATGGTAAAGTTTGGCAGTGAGTTCTGTGTCAGGGAGTCTAATGGTAAAGTTTCTAAGTGAGATCTATGTCAGGGACTAATGATGTTACCGAATGTGTGACTGAAGGGTGTTACCCGATGTGTGATTGAAGGGTGCTACCCGATGTGTGCCTGAAGAGTGTTACCCCATGTGTTACTGAAGGGTTCTACCCGATGTGTGACTGAAGGATGTTACACGATTTGTGACTGAAGGGTGTTAGCCGATGTGTGACACGCTGGTGTTAACCAATGTCTGACTTGCTTTACCCGATGTGTTACTTGCGGATGTTACCTGGTGTGGGACTGTCGGGTGTTTCCCGATGTATGACTGAAGGGTGTGAAGCAATGTGTGACTGAAGGGTGTTACCCGATGTTTGACTGAAAGGTGTTACCCGATGTGTGACTAGCTGGTGTTACCCGATGTGTGACTGGCGGGTGTTACCCTATGTGTGACTGGCAGGTGTTAAGCGATGTGTTACTGGCAGATGTTATCCAATGTGTAAGTGAAGTGTTTTACCCTATGTGTGACTGAAGGGTGATACCCGATGTGTGACTGAAGGGTGTTACCTGAAGTGTGACTGAAGGGTGTTACCCGATGTGTGACTGAAGGGTGTTACCCGATGTGTGATTGAAGGGTGTTACCCGATGTGTGACTGAAGGGTGTTACCCGATGTGTGACTAGCGGGTGTTACCTGATGTGTGACTGAAGGGTGTTACCCGATGTGTGAGTGAAGGGTGTTACCCGATGTGTGACTAGCGGGTGTTACCCTATGTGTGACTGAAGGGTGTTACCCGATGTGTGACTGAAGGTTGTTACCTGATGTGTGACTGAAAGGTGTTACCCGATGTGTGACTGAAGGTTGTTACACGATGTGTGACTGAAGGGTGTTACCTGATGTGTGACTGAAGGTTGTTACCTGATGTGTGACTGAAGGTTGTTACACGATGTGTGACTAGCGGGTGCTACCCGATGTGTGACTGAAGGGTGTTACCTGATGTGTGACTGAAGGTTGTTACCTGATGTGTGACTGAAAGGTGTTACCCGATGTGTGACTGAAGGTTGTTACACGATGTGTGACTGAAGGTTGTTACCTGATGTGTGACTGAAGGGTGTTACACGATGTGTGACTAAAGGGTGTTACCCGATGTGTGACTGAAGGTTGTTACCCGATGTGTGACTGGCGGGTGTTACCCGATGTGTTACTGGCAGATGTTACCCTATGTGTGGCAGGCGGGTGTTAAGCGATGTGTGACTGAATGTTGTTACCTGATGTGTGACTAGCGGGTGTTACCTGATGTGTGACTGAAGGGTGTTACCCGATGTGTGACTGGATGTATGTTTATGGAGCGTGTTTCCGGATGTACGACTGGCGGGTGTGACTAATCTCTTGCATTGATTTTATTCTCTTGTTTATTCTGAAATGTCGTTCTTTTTCAAAGAACTTGATGCAGGTCATGCAGTGTCGGATGTCAATTTGTCACTGTTTTATTCCCGGTGTGTCTGGGTGATGCAGGTCATGCAGTGTCGGATGTTCATTTGTCACTGTTTTATTCCCTGTGTCTGGGTGATGCAGGTCATGCAGTGTCGGATGTCAATTTGTCACTGTTTTATTCCCGGTGTGTCTGGGTGATGCAGGTCATGCAGTGTCGGATGTTCATTTGTCACTGTTTTATTCCCTGTGTGTCTGGGTGATGCAGGTCATGCAGTGTCGGATGTCAATTTGTCACTGTTTTATTCCCGGGGGCCTGGGTGATGCAGGTCATGCAGTGTCGGGGGTCCATTTGTCACTGTTTTATTCCTGGGGGCCTGGGTGAGCATGTTTTGTTCTTGTATAAGTGTTGTGGTCCTTGTCGTGGGGCTTATGTTAACTGATTTCACTTGGAACAGATGTGCGCGTCTCCTGTCAGTGCTGGACCTCAACGTGGTGCAGGAGTGACAACGTCATGGACGGCCAACACAGCACAAGGTATGAACGCATTCTGAGATGTATATTTATAGGAAAACGTTCATCTATATCTTGTTTATAAAGCAGATGTTTCATTTTAATTGAGTTTGGAATAATTTGAACAATAATTATATTCTTCATTACAACCGTTTTACATGTAGATAGATGCGTCCTCCCTTTCACGATGTTCAACCACTCCACACAAGATCACAACATGAACAAGCTGTCCATCCTCGGTGTTGCATTGGCGGTATTCAATGTCGTCCTGCTGGCAGCACTGGTCGGCGTTGTAGTACGCCTTCAGACACACAGTCGACTGTCAAGTGACCATCTATACAGTCTCAATGCATCGCAGGTCATTACCACAACGGTACACAATTTCATTTCAGTTAGTGTTTGTGTCATCAATCACATTCTGTCTGAGCAAGAAAGTATCATCTCATATGTTTCTTTTCTTCGTGGTGCCCAAGGATTAAAACCCAGTGCGTACATGTATATAAAGCAGTACCTAAAGGATATTGTTAGTAGTCGTTCGCTGGCATTTAGCATATGTTTATCAAAGGTAGGACCTCAGGTCACTGGTCTCAACCATTCAATCCTCAAACAACCATTGTTTAAGGTAGCACATATAACATTTTGACCCAGAGGGTTTGTGTTTCAGGTGGGCAAGCTTAAGGAAGAAACCAACCGAGGTAAAGGAGGAGTTTATACTACACACACACACACGCACACGCACACGCACACGCACACGCACATCGCACACATATCGCACAATATCAAATGTTAGATATTTTGTTACAGTTGAGCACCACTGCCGGAGCGTGGCGAGCACGTACCAGACGTCCGGTAACAGTGGCAAAGCCTCTGCACACGTCACCCTAAACTCCACAGGTAACGTCCACACATCGAGCTATTATAACCAGTTAGTGAATTGAGACTGCAAACATGGCAGAGTACCATTTCTTAATTTCCAAAGGTTGTCAGCCTTGGAACATAGTTGTTTGCGTGCTCATAACATCAACCATTAGTTTGTCAGGTATCGATATATTAGGCTGTTATACAGTGAAATACCATTACATTCACTGGACAGATGGCCGCATGCACAGCTAAAATGTCTGAAACAGACTGCAGGTACACAACACGACCGTGGGGCAATACCTTTATGTCCATTAGAGTATTTGATATCTACTCTCCGCGGCGAATAGGCTATTAATTATTTTTTGACGAACTTCAAGGTATTAATTATTTTATTTTCTGACAAGCGTTAAAGGAATCATGGAAATCTCGGCATCAGTATCTGGAAAACTGTATCGAATTTGAGATATCAAATAACTGAAATTTTATATTAAAACTTAATAATCGGTATATTTGACCATGAGTTGGCGGGAAGGTTTGTACACTTGATACTTTTGATCAGAAGTTAGAGGCACGATCGTTCATTTTTTTGACGGACGATTTGGGGAATGGAGGGCTGCTAAGGGTGAACTGCCGGACGCGATGGGTAGCCTTATTTCACTGCAAGGATAGGGATTTGTTCGAGGAATGCTTGAGAGAAAACGACGTGATTCCTAGCAAACTAGAATGGGAACGAGTGAAAAAACAGCTCGCCGAAACGAAACATGCCAAACTCGCGTTGAAAACCGACCAACCCGTGGCTTATCGAGTGTTTTAGCTTAGCAGTGCTTAGCAAATGCTTAGCAAATGAAAGTTTATAGTTTTATATTAAATGTCGACTTTTGAAATTTCATCGTGTGTAAAGTTTGTATCTTGCAAATTACATCGCAAAATATTGAAACACGATGAAATCAGAATTCTAGCCGAAGCAAAGTTATAAGCAATAGACGACCATATTTCCACCGCACTCACTGACAATAAATCTCAGAGGATGAGTTTCGTTTGGTCCTCTTTAAACTCGCAAAATATCACAAAATGAAACAAGAGATTCGAACCAAGTCTCGTAAAAGCACCACCATCAGCGAAGGCGAGAAAAAGAGTACATAAACCAAGGGATACAGCAAGCCCAACAAACCTCCATTACGAAAACATAAGAAATCATAAGAGATTCACATTAAATTGTTTCGCCGAGATCAACATTATATAGGTTGATCAGAATAGTGTCACGTGACCAGGAAAGTGTCGGTTCGCGGTCATAGTGACCAGGAAGTTTTGGGGCGAGCAAAAAGTGGAATGCACACTAGCGGAGAGAGATAAGGGCCTGACAAAAGCTTTATTTCATAAATCAAGCTTTACAGAGGCTTTTGTCAGACTTTATATTGTATCCCCATTCTATATACTACTATAACACAAGTATCAACTATCAGTATTGCTATACATTCTACAACACACATGTCAACCATCAGTATTGCTGTACCATTTATAACACAAGTATCAACTATCAGTATTGCTATACATTCTATAACACACATGTCAACCATCAGTATTGCTGTACCATTTATAACACAAGTATCAACTATCAGTATTGTTATACATTCTATAACACAAGTATCAACCATAAGTATTGCTATACCATCTATAACACAACTATCAGTATTGTTATACATTCTATAACACAAGTATCAACCATCAGTATTGCTATACGGCAGTTCCCCGACCTCATGACGGTGACGTACAAATTCTCTCCTGGCGACATGACATCGATGCAGCCTTCCTTAATGAGGGGATCACCTGCCAAGATGGCGGCCTGACAGTGTGGAAGGGAGGCTACTACTATGTCTACAGTCAGGTACAAAAACAAACCAGCCTGCCAGGATTTATCATGGATGAGATAGAATATTTATCATGGTAACCTATATTGTGTCATGGTAAACAATAACTAAAATGAGGTATATTACTAATTATGTCAACTCACCGGTGATATTTTCATGTAGATGATATTTACATATAATCTCGTCTTTCGCTGCTCATCTGACGCGGAGGGACACGAACGGAATTGCGATGAAAGCTGCGTAAAAGTATACTCACTCAATCATTACAGATCGTTTACAGTGGGAACGGAACCCAGGAACTGGACTATGGGCGGATCCTGCACACAGTGGTCAAACAGAAGACGTCAGAGCTGGCGGAAGCACCAACTCCCCTGATGAGGAACCTGCAGTCCACCCCCAGCATCAGACGGGGACGAACCGCCTACACCACCAGCAGCCTGGGGGCCACCTTCTACCTGGAACCCAACACCAGGGTCATGGTCAAGTCCAGTGTTCCTGGGAACATCGATGTCAGCACACCTCACTCCACCTATTTCGGGATGTTCCTAATATAGTGTCCAGTCTTCCTGGGAAAATGGATGTCAGCACACCTACTTGAGCTTTGGTCTTGTTGATATTGACATGTGGAACTGGTGGTTAGCTCTCCGGCGATACAGAATGACATTTGTCTAAAGCATCGGATGAACGTTTGGATACATTGCAAGGCATTGACAGTTACTGGTGCTTAGCTCTCCAGCGATACAGAATGACATTTGTCTATAGCATAGGATATACATTGGGAGACATTGCAAATATTTACAATGACCTTCTAAGAAATGATTATTTTAAGTGGCAGTGCCTTGGTCTCCTTTTCGCGTGTTTCGGTGAAGACAAGGTGGATCTACCCTGGCAATGTTTCTAAACGTTTGTGATTGTCTGCTCCAGTATTTACTGACCGCCTTTAAATGGCTGGATTATTGAAGCGTGTGGCCTTTACACAATGAAAGTCTAAAAAATTAATTCAACCGTGGTCATACCTTGTGCAGCAAACATACTGTGTTTTCATGATAATGTAGTCTCTAACATACTGAGTTTTCATGATAATGTAGTCTCTAACATACTGGGTTTTCATGATAATGTACTCTCTAACATACTGTGTTTTCATGATAATGTAGTCTCTAACATACTGGGTTTTCATGATAATGTAGTCTCTAACATACTGGTTTTTCATGATAATGTAGTCTATAACATACTCGGTTTTTATGATAATGTAGTCTATAACATACTGGGTTTTCATGATAATGTAGTCTCTAACATACTGGTTTTTCATGATAATGTAGTCTATAACATACTCGGTTTTTATGATAATGTAGTCTATAACATACTGGGTTTTCATGATAATGTAGTCTATAACATACTGAGCTTTCATGATAATGTAGTCTATAACATTTGATCTAGTAATGATAAGTTCACTATCTTTAGAACTTGGTTTTGCCCTGGACCATTTACTTGTCCTGCTGTGGACACTCGAGCAGACAGCGCACCTGTGAAGTTACAAAAGCGCGATGTTATTTATACATTACATTACTCCTACATGATATTATGCTGCCTACATTCAGCTTGTATCTGTGGCTCACGAATATAATGCATTGTCACGTGAGTAGTGATGTAATTGTCACAATAGACGCCTCCCAGTTCTGTCATTATACAAGATGAAACAACAACAGCAACATCATCAGCGCCATCAGCTGGATCATGCTCACCATCATCACAACTATATATGTTAACCTCAGCATACACTGTATGATTTTCAACAATTGATATACACGAGGGCGTTGGGGTAGCGTAGTGGTTAAAGCGTTCGCTCGTCACGCCGAAGATCCGGGTTCCAATCCCCACATGGGTACAATGTGTGAAGCCCTTTTCTGGTGTCCCCGGGCGTGATATTGCTGGAATATTGCTAAAAGCGGCGTAAAACCAAACTCGATCAGTCAGTCAGTCAATTGATATACACGGGTAGACATGCTACTGGCACAGATGTGCAGTGACAGACTGCCAGGGAAGACTGACTGTGGTACACGAGATTATCAGTCCTCGGTTCCCCACAGATTGTGAGTTTTGTGTCACGCATGGAAGATATATATAAGTTTTTTTCTCTGTTGTCTGTTATTCCGGGAAGTGTCAGTAAATACAGAAAGGCCACTTTTCCTTTTGCTGCCGCTGCTAAATTAGATCAGACAAGGGAAGGTCTGGTTGTACCTACAGTACTACAATGTGGGATTAGTGTATTAATTTGCTACATGTAATTATCTATAAGCTATAATAATGATAACATCACAATTTGGAAATTCAGCTTGAAATCCCTGAATGGAGTCGCTAATCCTGTTGTCAGCTGAGTTTGCCCGTCTCTGACTGGCCTCCATAGCGTGTCTTGCGTTCCCGTTGTTAAGGTTTTCCTCGAGAAAAGCCACTTCACCTTGAGTGCACACGTCTAACATGCCTCACTCACCCTGCTGCAGCTGTGACCTACTTACACCAGGACATGGCAACAATATCAGTCACCAACATGTCATAGTGTCATTACTTTACAATATGGGATTTGGATATATATGAGAAAGACAGTATATTAGTAGCTTAAATTCCTTCCTGTCTGAATTTATGATCTGGGCTCAGCATATATCCCATCAAAAATGGCATAACTCGTTATCATCAAGTTCTAAAACTTATTCATATTCTCTTTTCAAGTGTAATCTATCTATGGAACCATATCTTAGTGTTATTAACATTAGTAAATTTCGCATTGCACTCGCACAGTTTCGCTGTGGTTCCCATCAATTAAATATTGAGACAGGTAGATACACAAATAAGCCCAGACATCACAGGTTATGCAACATGTGCGACAATGGATATATAGAAAACCAGTATCATTTCCTTTAGTGTGTACTGCATGCAGTTCCTTGCGCACTATATATATTCCTGCCAAGATTTACACATACCCTTCTTTGTCAAATGTCAATATATTGATGACCTCAAACAATATATTTGTCATCAGAAATGTAGCAATGTTTGTTTATTATGCTGTAAAGCACCGCAAATCATATATCTGGCTGCAAACATTTAATATTTGTATTATGGGCCTATGGCCTACATACACTCTGCGAATAAAGAATTTTAATTTGAATATATTCATTACAAAATAAAATTCCTAAATCGATACAAATCACTACAAAGGTATCACTATAGGTGTCCAAATTCACAGGTGACATAATACAAGATCGGTGGTTACAGTAACAACGACAGCGATGTACACATCTACGTGGCAGTAATCCAACTTGGAAGAAAGGCCAGGCAGGGAGTATCCAGGATATGATCTTCACACACACTGCTTCTTCTTGTGGCCTGAGATTTACTGTGTGATGAGAGGCAAGAGTTAACTCCCCATATATGATTGAGAAAATGGTGCCGGAAAATCAATCACTAAGGCACATGTTCTGGAATAAACTCCTTGCAGCAGCTTCCATACCTTTCTATCTAAATCTAGTATAGCACTGCCTCTCACTGAATAGCCACTCATACATTGTATTACACTCGGTACACAATGAACATCACTGTCACACAACTATATCCCAGGTTATCAGAGCGATGTTGGCGATGTACTGGATCCCGACTTGAATATTTTACTCCAGATGACGTGGGTGCCTTCAATGCGCTTACGTGACACCTTCCATTAACGTTGTGGCAGTCCTTGTAACCAGCTCTACATTTTGATTACAATACGTGACAGTGTCCGTGTCAGCAGCACCGTTACATTACCGAAGTTTAGGCTTCCACAGTCTATATTAGATGCAATATACGAACAGTACATGGATGAGTGACTGAGTGTGGTTTTACGCCGCCTTTAGCAATATTCCAGCAATGTCAGGGCGGGGGACACCAGACATGAACATTTGAACATCAACCTGGTACATGCTCAGTGATGGAATACAGGGAGTACTTCTGTGGAGGCTTCGGGGACACATCTACACAGCATGTCTATCTTGGGTTGTCACACCTTGTTGGAATAATATAGGGAATACGACATGGGTTGTCACACCTTTTTGGAATAATATAGGGAATACAGCACGGGTTGTCACACCTTGTTGGAATAATATAGGGAATACAGCACGGGTTGTCACACGTCGTTGGAATAATATAAGAAATACAGCACGGGTTGTCACACCTTGTTGGAATAATATAGGGAAAACGACATGGGTTGTCACACCTTTTTGGAATAATATAGGGAATACAGCACGGGTTGTCACACCTTGCTGGAATAATATAGGGAATACAGCATGGGTTGTCACACGTCGTTGGAATAATATAAGAAATACAGCACGGGTTGTCACACCTTGTTGGAATAATATAGGGAATACAGCATGGATTGTCACACCTTGTTGGAATAATATAAGAAATACAGCACGGGTTGTCACACCTTGTTGGGATAATATACGGAATATAGCACGGGTTGTCACACCTCGTTGGAATAATATAGGGAATACAGCACGGGTTGTCACACATTGTTGGAATGATAAAGGAATACAGCACGGGTTGTCACACCTCGTTGGAATAATATAGGGAATACAGCACGGGTTGTCACACATTGTTGGAATGATAAAAGAATATAGCACGGGTTGTCACACCTCGTTGGAATAGTATAGGGAATACAGCACGGGTTGTCACACATTGTTGGAATGATAAAGGAATACAGCACGGGTTGTCACACCTCGTTGGAATAATATAAGAAATACAGCACGGGTTGTCACACCTTGTTGGGATAACATAAGACATATAGCAAGGGTTGTCAAACCTTGTTGGAATAATATACGAAATACAGCACGGGTTTTCACACCTTGTTGGGATAATATACGGAATATAGCATGGATTGTCACACCTCGTTGGGATAACATAAGACATATAGCAAGGGTTGTCAAACCTTGTTGGAATAATATACGAAATACAGCACGGGTTTTCACACATTATTGGAATAATATAAGACATACAGCATGGTTTGTCAAGCACTTTTTAAAGGACAGTTTTTGAATAACGGAGGAAGTACAACACGGGTTGTCGTAAGGGTTTGTCACACATTCGATGTACTAAACTTGGTACATTTGCTTTCACTGTTTGGAACTGAAAAGCGATCAGTGTTAGGATGGCATAAATAATAATGTAATCAGAGATTAAAATTTGACAAGAGTGATGGACGATCCAAAGTCGAGAGTCCCAAAGAAAATGTATTCATAAAACCTGTAAGAATGTAAAACATCACGGAGATATCTAGGGTTTCATGTCCTGGTTTCAATTGTTACAATAGTAACAAGAAGTGACGTCATCAGCTTCCGTCATGAGTAACGTCCAACAGAATTCCCTTCAAATGAGTTGGAATAAACAAGCAATCCCAGTGACTGATGGAGGGGGTACATCTACAAACGTGATACAAGCTCCCAGGGTAAATGACTGACGGAAGGGGTACATCTTCAAACGTGATACAAGGTCCCAGGGTAAATGACTGATTGAGGGGGTACATCTACAAACGTGATACAAGCTCCCAGGGTAAATGACTGATGGAGAGGGTACATCTACACACGTGATACAAGCTCCCAGGGTACATGACTGATGGAGGGGGTACATCTACACACGTGATACAAGCTCCCAGGGTAAATAACTGATGGAGGGGGTACATCTACAAACGTGATACAGGCTCCCAGGGTAAATGACTGATGAAGGGGGTACATCTACAAACGTGATACAGGCTCCCAGGGTAAATGACTGATGAAGGGGGTACATCTTCAAACGTGATACAGGCTCCCAGGGTAAATGACTGATGGAAGGGGTACATCTACAAACGTGATACAGGCTCCCAGGGTAAATGACTGATGGAGGGGGTACATCTACAAACGTGATACAAGCTCCCTGATTAAACGACTGATGGAGGGGGTACATCTACAAACGTGATACAAGCTCCCAGGGTAAATGACTGATGAACGGGGTACATCTACAAACGTGATACAGGCTTCCAGGGTAAATGACTGATGGAAGGGGTACATCTACAAACGTGATACAAGCTCCCTGATTAAACGACTGATGGAAGGGTTACATCTACACACGTGATACAGGCTCCCAGGGTAAATCTACAAACGCGTGATACAAGCTCCAGAGTAAAATGACTGATGGAGAGGGTACATCTACAAGCGTGATACAAACTCCCCAGGGTAAATGACTGATGGAGGGGTACATCTACAAGCGTGATAAAGCTCCTAGGGTAAATGACTGATGGAGGGGTACATCTACAAAGCGTGATACAAGCTCCCACGGTACATGGCTGATGGAGGGGTACATTTTACAAACGTGATACAAGCTTCAGGGTAAATGACTGATGGAGGAGTACATCTACAAACGCGTGATACAAACTCCCAGAGTAAATGATCTGATGGAGGGGTAACATTTACAAAGCGTGATACAAGCTCCCAGAGTAAATGACTGATGGAGGGTACATTTACAAGCGTGATACAAGCTTCCTGGGTAAATGACTGATGGAGGGGTACATCTACAAAGCGTGATAAAGCTCCTAGGGTAAATGACTGATGGAGGGGTACATCTACAAACGTGATACAAGCTCCCAGAGTACATGGCTGATGGAGGGGTACATTTACAAACGCGGATACAAGCTCCCAGGTAAATGACTGATGGAGAGGGTACATCTACAAGCGTGATACAAACTCCCAGGGTAAATGACTGATGGAGGAGTACATCTACAAGCGCGTGATACAAGCTTCCAGGTTAATGACTGATGGAGGGGGTACATCTTCAAGCGTGATACAAGATCCCAGGGTAAATGACTGATGGAGGGGGAATTTATCTACAAGCGTGATACAAGCTTCCAGGGGTAAATGACTGATGGAGATGGTACATCTACAAAGCGTGATACAAGCTCCCAGGGTAAATGACTGATGGAGGGGTACATCTACAAGCATTGATACAAGCTTCAGAATTAAATGACTGATGGGAGGGTACATCTATAAGCGTGATACAAGCTCCCAGGGTAAAATGACTGATGGAGAGGGTACATCTACAAGCGTGATACAAGCTCCCCAGGGTAAATGACTGATGGAGAGGGTACATCTACCAATGAAGGATTAATGTTAGTATCACGATGTGTGTAGTTAGGTGTCTGAACGTGAGACTTTAGTTTGATCATTGTAGGATTAACCTTAGTGTCAAGTTGTGTGTAGTAAGGTGTCTCTGAACGTGAGACATTAGTCCAATCAGTGTAGGATTAATGTTTGTATCAAGATGTGTGTGTAGTTAGGTGTCTGAACGTGAGACATTAGTCCAATCAATGTAGGATTAATGTAAGCATCACGATGTGTGTAGTTAGGTGTCTGAACGTGCGACATTAGTCCAATGAATGTTTGATTAATGTTAGTATCACGATGTGTGTGTTGTTGGGTATCTCTGAACGTGAGACATTAGTCCAATCAATGTACGATTAATGTTAGCATGACGATGTGTGGAGTTAGGTATCTGAACGTGAGACATTAGTAAAATCAATGTAGGATTAATGTTAGTATCACGATGTGTGTTGTTAGGTATCTCTGAACGTGAGACATTAGTCCAATCAATGTAGGATTAATGTTAGTATCACGATGTGTGTAGTTAGGTGTCTCTGAAGGTGAGACATTAGTCAGATCAATGCAGGGTTTTATTGTATACAACATCATCATTTTGGTTCTACAAAAGAGTAATCTGTAAGTGGTTCTTTAGTGAACTTTGTTATACATTCAGTTCTAAGTTGATCAGAGGTATTACAAATAAATAGTACATGGTATTCAGTTTATATATAATGCCGACCTCTGGTTTTACAAAATGGGCATAGTCTTTCGTTATATTCAATTGCATTATACCTACCACATTCAACCGCAGTATTAAAAGTTCTGCATCTAAACCTTGATATAGCAATTCTTAAATGCATAGGGATATCACAGCACAAATATCTTTCAACATTTAACAATATTTTAAACTCCTTATAAAATATACATTTAGGAGATTCACTAATTGATGAGTACCAAGATTGTTTTAAGTTATCTCCTAACGTTATCTTGAATAGATACACAACATATTCCACATTTCCAATTTCTTGGCTTAACCAAGCATAACCAAATCCATATTGAAACAGGGTGTGTCTAAGCTATCTAGTGTTCTTAACATCAAATAAAATTGTTGTGGGAGTCTATTTTGCGGCATATGTATAAGTCTACAACAGAATTTAATCACTCTTGACATGTACAAATGCTGTAATGGGAGTCTGCCATACTCGCCAAGAACCATACCATTTAATGTAGTTTTTTCATCCTTAAGTATTGTTTACAAAATTTAATTCGCACAGCCTCTATTATTTTGGAATGACATGTTCCCCAAATTTCAGAGCCATAACAAAGAATAGGCACAACCATTGAATAGAAAATATTAGGTAGATCAGTACAAACTATGTTACCAATTTTTCCCTGGAAACCATTTAAAGACATCATTGTTTCAGAGGCCTTAGATGCAAGACACGTCTGGGCTTTACTCCATACAAGCTCGGGCATGAAAACTAATCCTAAATACCTATGAAAGGAAACCATTTCAACAGGAGAACCATTATAGAACCATTTCTCATAATGACGAAAGATTGCTTGACCTCCCTCCAATTCTTATTTCTTATAAAGATTATCAATAAACATAAGAAAAATCTGTGGGCTTAGAATACATCCCTGCCTTGTACCTACAAGCAGGATGAAAGGCCATGTTTACTTCTGACACAGGATGTGTGTTAGTGTCAAGATGTGTGTAGTGAGGTGTCTCTGAAGGTGAGACATTAGTCAGATCAGGGATAATCTACAGCAGGGTTAGGTCACTCTCTTCTTGTTCTTCTTCAGTTATGTGTTTTGGAGGTCGCCTTCGCATGCTGGCATTTCGGCAGGCCTATGTCACTCCCTTGCTTCCTTTACCATTTGTACTAATTAGCGTGTGCTTCGTCATGCTCCAACGCACACAGTGACTTCGTTCGTTCCCAGCGCAACTTCGGCTACGTTTAACCAGGGAGACTATATAACGTTGTAGATTATCCCTGGTTTAACAGTACTTCAGCAAGTTTATTGTATCAGTAGGAATTTTACACTGAATGAATGAATGAAGAGCAATGGCATGGACATTGACAGAATGTTAAGTGACACTGTCACACACCCTTCAAAAAAAGAAACTATCACAAAGCGTTGTAAACACCTTTCCAGTTTTGTCAAATACTAAGATTATCAAGAAAGAAAGAAGTTTTAGAACTATTACACTCAAGCGTTACAAGCATCAATGGCGGATCAGAACAGATCCGCGATATGTCATATTTTTCACACACATCAAATACACACTAACAATTTTCTAAAATTACAAAATTACACTTTTCACCTGATGGTATATTCCCCTTATAAAAAATAAAGGTGTGTGTGAAAGAAGTTTTCAGAACAATAACTAGAAACACTCAAACAACGCCCTGTAGTATTTCAATGGCGAATCAGATCAGATCGGTGATATGTCATATTTTGCACACACCCTAACAATTCTTTTACAGTTATAAAACTATCATTATTACTTGCAAACACCTTTCAACTGTCAACTAAAGGCATATTTCCCTTCTAAAATTACACGAATATGTGAAAGACGTTTTTAGCGAAAGAATTTAGTCTTTCTTCGATGTGTTCCGAGAATTGAAGCCAGTGAGCTACAACATGCCGACTAAAAATCTACTGTACTAGTACTGACACTAATAACAATTTTTGACATAAAATGAAGTGACAAAATAGGTTACTTATCTTCTACATATAGGTTTTCAGTTGTCAAAACACTCAGCGAATGTTATCAGCTGTTAAAGAATAAACCGGGCTTAATCTTAAAACCTAAACTGTCGCCACGTGACGAGCCGACAACTGGTCAGATGAAGGAAGCGTGACGGTTCACCTGACATCCTGGGTTGTCCGCGGGCTATAAATAGATACACAAAGAATTCCCTCAAGTTGCCACCTTAATGTCTAGATACACAGATCACAAGGCTCTAGACTGCATTCATACCAACCAAACAGTTCGTGAACACGGCACGGACTTTCTGCTTTCTGCTCTCAGTAACGATTTCGTTGGGATTTACTCGCTGCTTACCCGGAAGTGTTGTGAACGGAGAGTTGTCTCAACAAGCAATGTGATTGGTTGTGCGAGCGGAGAGTTGTCTCAACAAGCAATCATTCGTAGGTCACGGAAAGAGGCGAGTAGTTACGAATGAACAAGCAATGTGATTGGTTGTGGGACGGGTATGAGGGAAATTCGAAATAGGAAGGTTTGTTTGCAGTGTTATACGTTTAAAACAGTGCTTCAGCTGTTGGACATACAAACTTATATTGAGTACATGTTTCAGTCTGTGTTCCCCCTATCGCTGTGCTGGACGTCAACGTCGTACAGAGGTGGAAACGTCCGAGACGGCGAGTGCAGCACTACATGACTATGACAATAACACGGTACGCCCCTCCTGGCTTGATATGCTGGGTTATTATATATAATAGGTAAATGTAGGGCTTGATCGAGGAGGCTGACTTACCTGCATCAGAGATTCCAAGACAACGTATTACTGTGTTACTCTGTTGACAACTCCAGATACCATGCCACAGATGTTACATGTGGGATTACACGTTCTTAGTTAAGCACTTTTACCAAATATAACTATTTATACCATGTAATAACTTTATAAAGTGATAAATTCTCACATATTTCACTAGAATCTGTATTTAGCTAACAAAGTTTAATCCAAAAATGTTGAATATAGTATGTGACCAGTTTCTGAAAGGCACGATGCAAATGTAACGTTATACCCTAAATGTCGAGATAGGGCTGGAAATCTCAAAATCAGTATCTTGAGGTTGTAATAGAGTAATCTTAAAAAGGTTACTTTCAAACTTCAAGTCAGCATCTTAAATTTTTACGAAATTAGATAGAAGGTGATATGAACAACCACAACGACAACTGATGAAGAATCAAACTTAGTCATGTAGAGTCTCCGTCATGTAGAGACTCAGTCATGTAGAGTCTCAGTCATGTAGAGACTGAGTCATGTAGAGTCTCAGTCATGTAGAGACTCAGTCATGTAGACACTCAGTCATGTAGAATCTCAGTCATGTAGACATTCAGTCATGTAGAATCTCAGTCATGTAGAGTCTCAGTCATGTAGAGTCTCAGTCACGTAGAGACTCAGTCATGTAGACACTCAGTCATGTAGAGTCTCCGTCATGTAGAGTCTCAGTCACGTAGAGACTCAGTCATGTAGACACTCAGTCATGTAGAGTCTCAGTCATGTAGAGTCTCAGTCATGTAGAGTCTCAGTCATGTAGAGACTGAGTCATGTAGAGTCTCAGTCATGTAGAGACTCAGTCATGTAGACACTCATTTATGTATAGACACTGTCATGTAGACACTCAGTCATGTAGAGTCTCCGTCATGTAGAGTCTCAGTCACGTAGAGACTCAGTCATGTAGACACTCATTTATGTATAGACACTGTCATGTAGAGACTCAGTCATGTAGAGTCTCAGTCATGTAGAGTCTCCGTCATGTAGAGACTCAGTCATGTAGAGTCTCAGTCATGTAGAGTCTGAGTCATGTAGAGTCTCAGTCATGTAGAGACTCAGTCATGTAGAGTCTCAGTCATGTAGAGACTCAGTCATGTAGAGTCTCAGTCATGTAGAGACTCAGTCATGTAGAGTCTCAGTCATGTAGAGTCTCCGTCATGTAGAGACTCAGTCATGTAGAGTCTCAGTCATGTAGAGACTGAGTCATGTAGAGTCTCAGTCATGTAGAGACTCAGTCATGTAGAGTCTCAGTCATGTAGAGACTCAGTCATGTAGAGTCTCAGTCATGTAGAGTCTCAGTCATGTAGAGTCTCAGTCATGTAGAATCTCACTCATGTAGAGTCTCAGTCACGTAGAGACTCAGTCATGTAGAGTCTCAGTCATGTAGAGTTTCAGTCATGTATAGAGACTGTCATGTAGAATCTCAGTCATGTAGACACTCAGTCATGTAGAGTCTCAGTCATGTAGAGACTCAGTCATGTAGAGTCTCAGTCATGTAGAGACTCAGTCATGTAGAGTTTCAGTCATGTAGAGTCTCAGTCATGTATAGAGACTGTCATGTAGAATCTCAGTCATGTAGACACTCAGTCATGAAGAATCTCAGTCATGTAGAGTCTCAGTCATGTAGAGTCTCAGTCATGTATAGAGACTGTCATGTAGAATCTCAGTCATGTAGACACTCAGTCATGAAGAAACTCAGTCATGTAGAGTCTCAGTCATGTAGAGTTTCAGTCATGTAGAGTTTCAGTCATGTAGAGACTGAGTCATGTAGAGTCTCAGTCATGTAGAGTCTCCGTCATGTAGAGACTCAGTCATGTAGAGTTTCAGTCATGTAGAGTTTCAGTCATGTAGAGACTGAGTCATGTAGAGTCTCAGTCATGTAGAGTCTCAGTCATGTAGAGTCTCCGTCATGTAGAGTCTCCGTCATGTAGAGACTCAGTCATGTAGAGTTTCAGTCATGTAGAGACTCAGTCATGTAGAGTCTCAGTCATGTAGAGTCTCCGTCATGTAGAGACTCAGTCATGTAGAGTTTCAGTCATGTAGAGTTTCAGTCATGTAGAGTCTCAGTCATGTAGAGTTTCAGTCATGTAGAGTCACAGTCATGTAGAGACTCAGTCATGTAGAGTTTCAGTCATGTAGAGACTCAGTCATGTAGAGTTTCAGTCATGTAGAGACTGAGTCATGTAGAGTCTCCGTCATGTAGAGACTCAGTCATGTAGAGACTCAGTCATGTAGAGACTCAGTCATGTAGAGTCTCCGTCATGTAGAGTCTCAGTCATGTAGAGTCTCAGTCATGTAGAGTCTCCGTCATGTAGAGTCTCAGTCATGTAGAGTCTCAGTCATGTAGAGACTCCGTCATGTAGAGACTCAGTCATGTAGACACTCAGTCATGTAGAGTCTCAGTCATGTAGAGCCTCCGTCATGTAGAGACTCAGTCATGTAGAGTCTCAGTCATGTAGAGTCTCCGTCATGTAGAGACTCAGTCATGTAGAGTCTCAATCATGTAGAGACTCAGTTATGTAAAGACTCAGTCATGTAGAGTCTCAGTCATGTAGAGTCTCCGTCATGTAGAGACTCAGTCATGTAGAGTCTCAATCATGTAGAGACTCAGTCATGTAGAGACTCAGTCATGTAGAGTCTCAGTCATGTAGAGACTCAGTTATGTAAAGACTCATTTATGTATAGAGACTGTCATGTAGAATCTCACTCATGTAGAGTCTCAGTCACGTAGAGACTCAGTCATGTAGAGTTTCAGTCATGTAGAGTTTCAGTCATGTATAGAGACTGTCATGTAGAATCTCAGTCATGTAGACACTCAGTCATGAAGAATCTCAGTCATGTAGAGTCTCAGTCATGTAGAGTCTCAGTCATGTATAGAGACTGTCATGTAGAGTCTCAGTCATGTAGAGTTTCAGTCATGTAGAGTCACAGTCATGTAGAGTTTCAGTCATGTAGAGTTTCAGTCATGTAGAGACTCAGTCATGTAGAGTTTCAGTCATGTAGAGACTCTGTCATGTAGAATCTCAGTCATGTAGACACTCAGTCATGTAGAGTCTCAGTCATGTAGAGACTCAGTCATGTAGAGTCTCAGTCATGTAGAGACTCAGTCATGTAGAGTTTCAGTCATGTAGAGTTTCAGTCATGTATAGAGACTGTCAAGTAGAATCTCAGTCATGTAGACACTCAGTCATGAAGAATCTCAGTCATGTAGAGTCTCAGTCATGTAGAGTCTCAGTCATGTATAGAGACTGTCATGTAGAATCTCAGTCATGTAGACACTCAGTCATGAAGAAACTCAGTCATGTAGAGTCTCAGTCATGTAGAGTCTCAGTCATGTAGAGTTTCAGTCATGTAGAGTTTCAGTCATGTAGAGACTGAGTCATGTAGAGTCTCAGTCATGTAGAGTCTCCGTCATGTAGAGACTCAGTCATGTAGAGTTTCAGTCATGTAGAGACTGAGTCATGTAGAGTCTCAGTCATGTAGAGTCTCAGTCATGTAGAGTCTCCGTCATGTAGAGTCTCCGTCATGTAGAGACTCAGTCATGTAGAGTTTCAGTCATGTAGAGACTCAGTCATGTAGAGTCTCAGTCATGTAGAGTCTCCGTCATGTAGAGACTCAGTCATGTAGAGTTTCAGTCATGTAGAGTTTCAGTCATGTAGAGTCTCAGTCATGTAGAGTTTCAGTCATGTAGAGTCACAGTCATGTAGAGACTCAGTCATGTAGAGTTTCAGTCATGTAGAGACTCAGTCATGTAGAGTTTCAGTCATGTAGAGACTGAGTCATGTAGAGTCTCCGTCATGTAGAGACTCAGTCATGTAGAGACTCAGTCATGTAGAGTCTCCGTCATGTAGAGTCTCAGTCATGTAGACACTCAGTCATGAAGAGCTTCAGTCATGTAGAGTCTCAGTCATGTAGAGTCTCAGTCATGTAGAGACTCAGTCATGTAGAGTCTCAGTCATGTAGAGTCTCAGTCATGTAGAGTCTCAGTCATGTAGAGTCTCAGTCATGTAGAGTCTCAGTCATGTAGAGTCTCAGTCATGTAGAGTCTCAGTCATGTAGAGTCTCAGTCATGTAGACACTCAGTCATGTAGAGTCTCAGTCATGTAGAGTCTCAGTCATGTAGAGTCTCAGTCATGTAGAATCCCAGTCATGTAGAGTCTCCGTCATGTAGAGACTCAGTCATGTAGAGTTTGAGTCATGTAGAGTCTCAGTCATGTAGAGTCTCAGTCATGTAGAGACTCAGTCATGTAGAGACTCAGTCATGTAGAGACTCAGTCATGCAGAGTCTCAGTCATGTAGAGTCTCAGTCATGTAGAGTCTCAGTCATGTAGAGTCTCCGTCATGTAGACACTCAGTCATGTAGAGTCTCAGTCATGTAGAGACTCAGTCATGTAGAGTCTCAGTCATGTAGAGTGTCAGTCATGTAGAGTCTCAGTCATGTAGAGACTGAGTCATGTAGAGTCTCAGTCATGTAGAGTCTCCGTCATGTAGAGACTCAGTCATGTAGAGACTGTCATGTAGAGTCTCCGTCATGTAGAGTGTCAGTCATGTAGACACTCAGTCATGTAGAGACTCAGTCATGTAGAGTCTCAGTCATGTAGAGTCTCCGTCATGTAGAGACTCAGTCATGTAGAGACTGAGTCATGTAGAGTCTCAGTCATGTAGAGTCTCCGTCACGTAGAGTCTCAGTCATGTAGAGTCTCAGTCATGTATAGTCTCAGTCATGTATAGAGACTGTCATGTAGAGTCTCAGTCATGTAGACACTCAGTCACGTAGAGTCTCAGTCATGTAGAGTCTCAGTCACGTAGAGTCTCAGTCACGTAGAGTCTCAGTCATGTAGAGTGTCAGTCATGTATTCAAAATGAAAGTTTCACCTGTTTGTGATTGCATAATGATCAAACGATGTAATAATGCCCGGAACAGGCATGCGAACAGCATCTTGGAGATAATGTTGATGTTACTGCTCCTTTCACAGACCTGAGATGGCGGCTGTCACACTGGTGGCGTTAAACTTCATCCTGCTCCTGACAGTGGTAACCATGGCAACCTACAAACTAAATAGTAGCACAGAAAGAAGTAAACGTTCCGTCAATGCATCCGCAGTGCGTGGACTGATGGTGGGTTGATTAAATGCTCTATCCTGATTGAGTGTAGGCTCTATGCTGGTTGAATGTAGACTCTATGCTGGTTAGATGTAGGTTCTATGCTGAATAGGTGTAGGCTCTATGCTGGTTGAATGTAGGCTCTATGCTGGATAAGTGTAGGCTCTATGATGGTTGAATGTAGTCTCTATGCTGGTTGAATGTAGGTTGTATGCTGAATAAGTGTAGGCTCTATGATGGTTGAATGTAGGCTCTATGATGGTTAGATGTAGGTTCTATGCTGAATAAGTGTAGGTTCTATGCTGGTTGAATGTAGGCTCTATGCTGGTTAGATGTAGGTTCTATGCTGAATAGGTGTAGGCTCTATGCTGGTTGAATGTAGGCTCTATGCTGGATAAGTGTAGGCTCTATGATGGTTGAATGTAGTCTCTATGCTGGTTGAATGTAGGTTGTATGCTGAATAAGTGTAGTCTCTATGATGGTTGAATGTAGGCTCTATGCTGGTTAGATGTAGACTCTATGCTGAATAAGTGTAGGTTTTATGCTGGTTGAATGTAGGCTCTATGCTGGTTAGATGTAGACTCTATGCTGAATAAGTGTAGGTTCTATGCTGGTTGAATGTAGGCTCTATGCTGAATAACTGTAGGCTGTATGATGGTTGAATGTAGTCTCTATGCTGGTTGAATGTAGGTTGTATGCTGAATAAGTGTAGGCTCTATGATGGTTGAATGTAGGCTCTATGCTGGTTAGATGTAGACTCTATGCTGAATAAGTGTAGGTTCTATGCTGGTTGAATGTAGGTTCTATGCTGAATAACTGTAGGCTGTATGATGGTTGAATGTAGTCTCTATGCTGGTTGAATGTAGGTTGTTTGCTGATTAAATGCAGGTTCTATGCCGGTTGAATGTAGGCTCTATGCTGGTTGAATGTAGCTCTAACATGACTGAATGTAGGCTCTATGCTGATTGAATGCAGGTTCTATGCTGATTGAATGTATGCTCTATGCTGGTTGAATGTATGCTCTATGCTGGTTGAATGTATGCTCTATGCTGGTTGAATGTAGGCTCTATGATGGTTGAATGTAGTCTCTATGCTGGTTGAATGTATGCTCTATGCTGGTTGAATGTAGGCTCTATGATGGTTGAATGTAGTATCTATGCTGGTAGAATATAGTCTCTATGTTGGTTGACTGTAGGCGCTATGCTGGTTGAATGTAGGCTCTATACTGATTGAATGTAATCTCTGCTGGTTGAATGTAGGTGCTATGATGGTTGAATGTAGGCGCTATGCTGGATGAATGTAGTCTCTATGCTGGTTGAATGTAATCTCTGCTGGTTGAATGTAGGCGCTATGCTGGTTGAATGCAGTCTCTGTGCTGGTTGAATGTAGGCGCTATGCTGGTTGAATGTAGGCACTATGCTGATTGAATGTAATCTCTATGCTGGTTGAATGTAATCTCTGCTGTGTGAATGTAGGCGCTATGCTGGTTGAATGTAGGCTCTATGATTGTTAAATGTAGGTGCTATGCTGGTTGAATGTAGGCTCTATACTGATTGAATGTAATCTCTGCTGGTTGAATATAGGCTCTGTGCTGGTTGAATGTCAGCTCTATGATGGTTGAATGTAGGCGCTATGCTGGTTGAATGTAGGCTCTCAGATGACTGAATGCAGGTTCTATGCTGGTTGAATATAGGCACTGTGCTGGTTGAATGTAGTCTCTGCTGGTTGAGTGTAGTCTCTATGCTGGTTGAGTGTAGTCTCTATGCTGATTGAATTTAGTCTCTATGCTGGTTGAATGTAGGTGCTATGCTGCTTGAATGTAGGCTCTCAGATGACTGAATGTAGGCTCTGTGCTGGTTGAATGTTGGCTCTGTGCTGGTTGAATGTAGGTTCATGGAAGTTTCACAGCTCCATTGCCCTTTAGACTAAATTCTGAGTATAGTCAAAACTAGACATTCCTTTGTACCGATGTTTCCCATGTAAAGAATAATAACGACTGTTCTTTCATCACATATAGATCTCTCCGACATCTTTGCAGATCTGTCCAAAATTAATCCATACCAACATCGAGAACAGAACAATTCAATAAAACAAGAACAAGCTGCAATAGTGTAACAACCAAGTTTCCCCATTTTCTTATACTCAAGGCGAAAAGTAACCGAATAACAAGACATTTAACTGGCATAATCTAATTGAATGCATTTTTCTCAAGATCATAATAAGTTAAAGTACAAACAAGACAAATATAAATATATACAGATACATGGTTTATAAATATATACAGATACATGGTTTATAAATATATACAGATACATGGTTTATAAATATATACAGATACATGGTTTATAAATATATACAGATACATGGTTTAAAGCCAAAGCACCGTTTTCATCATCTCTTTTCTCTCATTCACCAGGTTCACGATATGTCAGCAGAGTGTTGGAGAGGTAGGTTGTTACACTTTATCACGCCCTCTATAGTGTTGTTGTGGGTTGTTACACTTTATCACGCCCTCTATAGTGTTGTTGTGGGTTGTTACACTTTATCACGCCCTCTATAGTGTTGTGGTGGGTTGTTACACTTTATCACGCCCTCTATAGTGTTGTGGTGGGTTGTTACACTTTATCACGCCCTCTATAGTGTTGTGGTGGGTTGTTACACTTTATCATGCCCTCTATAGTGTTTTGGTGAGTTGTTCCTCTATATCATGCCCTCTATAGTGTTGTGGTGGGTTGTTACACTTTATCATGCCCTCTATAGTGTTGTGGTGGGTTGTTGCACTTTATCACGCCCTCTATAGTCTTGTGGTGGGTTGTTACACTTTATCACGCCCTCTATAGTCTTGTGGTGGGTTGTTACACTTTATAACGCCCTCTCTAGTGTTGTGGTGGGTTGTTACACTTGATCATGCCCTCTATAGTGTTGTGGTGAGTTATTACTCTTTATCATGTCCTCTATAGTGTTGTGGTGAGTTATTACTCTTCATCATGCCCTCTATAGTGTTGTGGTAAGTTATTACTCTTCATCATGCCCTCTATAGTGTTGTGGTGAGTTATTACACTTTATCATGCCCTCTATAGTGTTGTGGTGAGTTATTACTCTTTATCATGCCCTCTATAGTGTTGTGGTGAGTTATTACTCTTTATAATGCCCTCTATAGTGTTGTGGTGAGTTGTTCCTCTTTATCATGCCCTCTATAGTGTTGTGGTGGGTTGTTACACTTGATCATGCCCTCTATAGTGTTGTGGTGAGTTATTACTCTTTATCATGTCCTCTATAGTGTTGTGGTGAGTTATTACTCTTTATCATGCCCTCTATAGTGTTGTGGTAAGTTATTACTCTTCATCATGCCCTCTATAGTGTTGTGGTGAGTTATTACACTTTATCATGCCCTCTATAGTGTTGTGGTGAGTTATTACTCTTTATCATGCCCTCTATAGTGTTGTGGTGAGTTATTACTCTTTATAATGCCCTCTATAGTGTTGTGGTGAGTTGTTCCTCTTTATCATGCCCTCTATAGTGTTGTGGTAGGTTATTACACTTTATCATGCCCTCTATAGTGTTCTGGTGAGTTATTACACTTTATCACGCCCTCTATAGTGTTGTGGTGAGTTATTACTCTTTATCATGCCCTCTATAGTGTTGTGGTGAGTTATTACTCTTTATCATGCCCTCTATAGTGTTGTGGTGAATTATTACTCTTTATCATGTCCTCTATAGTGTTGTGGTGAGTTATTACACTTTATCATGCCCTCTATAGTGTTGTGGTGAGTTATTACACTTTATCATGCCCTCTATAGTGTTGTGGTGGGTTGTTACACTTTATCACGCCCTCTATAGTGTTGCGGTGGGTTGTTACACTTTATCACGCCCTCTATAGTGTTGTGGTGAGTTATTACACTTTATCACGCCCTCTTATGGTGGACTGTTCTGTGTACTTTATGGTGTTGAAGCATTCGTATGTGATTATAATATGGTTAACAATGGTGATTGTGATTTACAGTGGAAGACTTATCACGGAATATTGCCAGCATCACCAACACAAGAGGCAACAGGGATAAGCCAGCAGCCCACATCATCATCAATACTGGGGCCTTATACACTGGTGAGTGGACATCAATACTTGGGCCTTATACACTGGTGAGTGGGACATCAATACTCGGGCTATATACACTGGTGAGTGGGACATTGATACTGAGGCTATATACACTGGTGCGTGGGACAATGATACTGGGGCTATATACACTGTGGGTGGGACATTAATACTGAGGCTATGTACACTGGTGAGTGGGACATTAATACTGAGGCTATATACACTGGTGCGTGGGACAATGATGCTGGAGCTATATACACTGGTGAGTAGGACATTAATACTGGGGCTATATACACTGTGGCTGTGACATTAATACTTTGGCTATATACACTGGTCAGTGGGACATTAATACTGGGGCTATATACACTGTGGGTGGGACGTTACTGCTGGGGCTATATACACTTTGGGTGGGACATTAATACTGGGGCTATATACACTGTGGGTGGGACATTAATGCTGGGGCTATATACACTTTGGGTGGGACATTGATACTGGGGCTATATACACTGTGGGTGGGACATTAATACTGGGGCTATATACACTTTGGGTGGGACATTGATACTGGGGCTATATACACTGTGGGTGGGACATTAATACTGGGGCTATATACACTTTGGGTGGGACATTAATACTGGGGCTATATACACTATGGCTGTGACATTAATACTTTGGCTATATACACTGGTGAGTGGGACATTAATACTGGGGCTATATACACTGTGGATGGGACATTAATGCTAGGGCTATATACACTTTGGGTGGGACATTGATACTGGGGCTATATACACTGTGGGTGGGACATTAATACTGGGGCTATATACACTGTGGATGGGACATTAATGCTAGGGCTATATACACTTTGGGTGGGACATTGATACTGGGGCTATATACACTTTGGGTGGGACATTAATACTGGGGCTATATACTCTGTGGGTGGGACATTAATGCTGGGGCTACATACGCTTTGGGTGGAACATTGATACTGGGGCTATATACACTGGTAAGTAGGACATTAATACTGGGGCTATAATATACACTGTGGGTGGGACATTAATACTGGGGCTATATACACTGGTGAGTGGGACATTAATACTGGGGCTTTATACACTGTGAGTGGGACATTGATACTGGGGCTATATACACTGTGAGTGGGACATTAATACTGGGGCTATATACACTATTGGTGGGACATTAATACTGGGGCTATATACACTGGTGAGTGGGACATTAATACTGGGGCTTTATACACTGTGAGTGGGACATTGATACTGGGGCTATATACACTGGGGGTGGGACATTGATACTGGGGCTATATACACTGTGGGTGGGACATTAATACTGGGGCTATATACACTGGTGAGTAGGACATTAATATTGGGGCTATATACACTTTGGGTTGGACATTAATATTGGGGCTATATACACTGTGAGTGGGACATTAATACTGGGGCTATATACACTGTGGGTGGGACATTAATACTTGGGCTATATACACTGGTCAGTGGGACATTAATATTGGGGCTATATACACTGGTGAGTAGGACATCAATACTTAGGCTATACCTCTAGTCAGTTGGGCATTAATACTGGGGTTATATACACTGGTAAGTAGGACATTAATACTGGGGTTATATACACTGGTAAGTAGGACATTAATACTGGGGTTATATACACTGGGGAGTAGGACATAATACTGAGGCTAAACATAGGTACGTGGGACTTATACAGCTATGCTCAGCATGTTTACACATAATGGGATAATAATGTTGTTATACTTGCAGAAGACGTTGCCACACTGAGTTGGAGTCGGGATCTCGAAATCACTTTTCTTAGTGAGAAGATGTCATACACAGATGGGGTTTTGACTGTGAAGCAGGGAGGATACTACTATGTCTACAGTCAGGTAGGACGTGAGGGTGTGTGACTGTGAAGCAGGGGGGATACTACTCTTTACGGTCAGGTAGGACGTGAGGGCGTGTGACTGTGAAGCAGGGGGGATACTACTCTCTACAGTCAGGTAAGACGTGAGGTTGTGTGACTATGAAGCAGGGAGGATTCTACTCTCGACAGTCAGGTAGAACGTTAGGGTGTGTGACTATGAAGGAGGGAGGATACTACTCTCGACAGTCAGGTAGAACGTGAGGGTGTGTGACTATGAAGCAGGGAGGATTCTACTCTCGACAGTCAGGTAGGACGTGAGGGTGTGTGACTATGAAGGAGGGAGGATACTACTCTCGACAGTCAGGTAGAACGTGAGGGTGTGTGACTATGAAGCAGGGAGGATACTACTCTCGACAGTCAGGTAGAACGTGAGGGGTGTGTGACTATGAAGCAGGGAGGATTCTACTCTCGACGGTCAGGTAGAACGTGTGGGTGTGTGACTATGAAGGAGGGAGGATACTACTCTCGACAGTCAGGTAGAACGTGAGGGTGTGTGACTATGAAGCAGGGAGGATTCTACTCTCGACAGTCAGGTAGGACGTGAGGGTGTGTGACTATGAAGGAGGGAGGATACTACTCTCGACAGTCAGGTAGAACGTTAGGGTGTGTGACTATGAAGCAGGGAGGATACTACTCTCGACAGTCAGGTAGAACGTGAGGGTGTGTGACTATGAAGCAGGGAGGATACTACTCTCGACAGTCAGGTAGAACGTGAGGGTGTGTGACTATGAAGCAGGGAGGATTCTACTCTCGACGGTCAGGTAGAACGTGTGGGTGTGTGACTATGAAGGAGGGAGGATACTACTCTCGACAGTCAGGTAGAACGTGAGGGTGTGTGACTATGAAGCAGGGAGGATTCTACTCTCGACAGTCAGGTAGGACGTGAGGGTGTGTGACTATGAAGGAGGGAGGATACTACTCTCGACAGTCAGGTAGAACGTTAGGGTGTGTGACTATGAAGCAGGGAGGATACTACTCTCGACAGTCAGGTAGAACGTGAGGGTGTGTGACTATGAAGCAGGGAGGATTCTACTCTCGACGGTCAGGTAGAACGTGTGGGTGTGTGACTATGAAGGAGGGAGGATACTACTCTCGACAGTCAGGTAGAACGTGAGGGTGTGTGACTATGAAGCAGGGAGGATTCTACTCTCTACAGTCAGGTAGGACGTGAGGGTGTGTGACTGTAAAGCAGGGAGGATACTACTCTCTACAGTCAGGTAGGACGTGAGGGTGTGTGACTATGAAGCAGGGAGGATACTACTCTCGACGGTCAGGTAGGACGTGAGGGTGTGTGACTAAGAAGGAGGGAGGATACTACTCTCGACAGTCAGGTAGAACGTGAGGGTGTGTGACTATGAAGCAGGGAGGATACTACTATGTCTCTGAGGTTGTGACCCTGAAGGAGGGGGCGGGGTTGTGACACTGAAGGAGGGGGCGGGGTTGTGACACTGAAACGGAAAACATTTTGCTGTGTCTCCCTCATTCTCACTATACGAGTCAGCTGACCAGATGGGAGACGATGTGTAAAACCCAAAGTCCATGGAGGTCTGCACAATAGTGCCATCCTACTTACCCTGTATCATTGTAGATGTTAATGGATATGTGGATAGTACTGTATTGTAGTACTTGTGGTTGTTACAGATCGTTTACAGTGGGAACGGAACCCAGGAACTGGACTATGGGCGGATCCTGCACACAGTGGTCAAACAGAAGACGTCAGAGCTGGCGGAAGCACCAACTCCCCTGATGAGGAACCTGCAGTCCACCCCCAGCATCAGACGGGGACGACCCGCCTACACCACCAGCAGCCTGGGGGCCACCTTCTACCTGGAACCCAACACCAGGGTCATGGTCAAGTCCAGTGTTCCTGGGAACATCGATTTCACCACACCTCACTCCACCTATTTCGGGATGTTCCTAATATAGTGTCCAGTCTTCCTGGGAACATCGATGTCAGCACACCTCACTCCACCTATTTCGGGATGTTCCTAATATAGTGTCCAGTCTTCCTGGGAACATCTACTTCACGTCCTGCATGGGGATGTTCATGACATAAGCACATCATCTAATACGACTGTGGGACACTGTGTGCATTTATGTATTTCTAATGGATCGGAGTAACGCCTTAAGATCCAGTTCAAATTGCAACTTTCTGCAGAACTTACGTAAATACTGAAGTTGACATGCCGAGAACATACTGATGACATACTGATGACTTAATGATGACATAATGATGACATACTGATCATATACTGATGACATACTGATCATAAACTGATGATATACGTTCTTTGTGGAACGCAACCACTACCCACCTGAAATAGTCAACAGAACCATCGAAGCAACGCTTTCACCTCCTGCCATAAGGTCTAAACCAGAATCAGCCCCCATCAAGATATCCATTCCCTACATTGGTAAACCATCACACCAAATCAGCCGACTCCTGAAACAACAGGCAGGAATAGACACTACCTTCTCAGCGTCCTCCAGCCTCAACAACCTCCTCCATGCCAACGGAAGAAAACAACCCACCGTCAACAACAACAACCCGAAATGTGTTATTTACAAAATAGACTGTGATTGTGGACAATGCTACATAGGTGAAACATCCCGACCCATCAACACCCGAGTCAAAGAACATCGCACCTCTGTTGCTAATTCCGACACCAAATCAGCTATCTCTGACCACATCAAAGCCAACCCCAATCATCAAATAGAGTGGTCCGGCATCACCATTCTCGCCAACAACCAAACGGACTTCACTAAACGCAAGCTCACAGAAGCCATTCACATCAAACGCCACAAGCCTACCATCAACCGTGACCAAGGATACTTCATTCCATCTGCTTATGATCCACTCCTCCACCAAGCCCAGTCTATTGTATAAACATCGCATCCATTGTATAAACATCTCATTGTACTACATCTCTGGCTTCCACTCACTATCCTTTATGTACTTACTGGCTTCATCAGCTTACTGCTTAGCCAATCATGGCAATTATGTTGTTTCCTTTGTCTATTATGTTGTTTCATTGTTATATACAGTATATATATGCAGCTCCTACACTTCATGTATCACTCTTGCTTGACAACGGTACAAGAATCTGTATCGAAACGTCGCACTCACGAAAATAAAGAAGTTGTTATCCATAAAACTTGTTATATATTGATGATATACTGATGTCATATTGATGATATTCTGATGACAGACGGATGATATACTGATGATATTCTGATGACGTGTTGTTGTAGTGTTAACACTCCTATTCCATGTTGGTTGACAATGGAAAATCGCCAGTGCAGCCCGAACGTCCTCGGACCTTCCCCGAGTTCGAGTGTTTGAGAAATTTACAAAGCTGAACCTTCTGTGTGAGGTTGACGTCATGCATATGGTTCATGTTTTAAAACAAATGAAAAATCAAAATTAAAGGCATAATAAAAGGATTGAACGTGTGACGTCAATTAACAGAGCAATCACGCTTGCTTACCGTGTTTTACTGCACAAATGTACATGAATAAAATGGATAGTAAAGAAATTATTACACTCGAGCAAGTGTGTCATACGTCTAAGGCGAAACTCGTGCAAAATTTCACATTCGTTTCGTATAAATCGTATCACATACTTGTTCATGTAATAATCTCTATGTACAATCACCGTTGTGTCGAAACTTCAAGCTCGACACAAAGGTGTTTGACGGTAAAAAAAACCCGTAGTGGTCTTACCCTCTTCAGTGGTGGCCATTTCCTGCAGTAAACAACAGCATACCCAATGGGTGGGAGAGTGCAATATGTCAGCCTTGAAGCAGAAACTGTGTCACGAGCTTGTGATGTCCGTGTTCCTGTCTCCTGGTATTAGCAGCTCATGTCATCTATAAGTTACACGTGCTGTCTGAACCTGAATGTCCGTGTTCCTGTCTCCTGGTATTAGCAGCTCATGTCATCTATAAGTTACACGTGCTGTCTGAACCTGAATGTCTGTGTTCCTGTCTCCTGGTATTAGCAGCTCATGTCATCTATACGTTACACGTGCTGTCTGAACCTGAATGTCCGTGTTCCTGTCTCCTGGTATTAGCAGATCATGTCATCTATAAGTTATACGTGTTGTCTGAACCTGAATGGTTATCTGCCACAGTTTACAAATCATGGGTAAAACTTCAATATTAGAATGTTTACCAGTAACTTTGTTTGAATAAAATGCCTATTATTTTGCGGGTTATTTTCACATTGTCGACAGTGTATTCCATCTCTGTTTGTTTTCAAGGGTTCGTACTGGCCAAGTGCCGCACTATATAACTGATTCAGCCCTACATCCCCGTGAGAACATTACGATCCAGCTACGGGAAGAGAACCTTCAAGTATGCTGCCGCCAAGGCATGGAACGAACTGCCTGAATGTTTGAAAAACTGTTAAAATCTACATGACTTCAAACTGTCATATCCAGATTACTAGTTTCATCTCAAGTGACTATGTTTTTAATTCTGTGCGCTTTGTGAATGGAAATAGCGCGGTACAAATGGACTATAATATAATAATAATAATAATTTAAGTATATTTTCTGTGAAGAGTTGTCCACATTGTCCACGTTGGAACCCAGTCGGTGGAACTGCAGGACACAGAATACACGACATCAGCACGGCATGAACAACCTCCACCTGCAGGCAACACGCGTGTATTAATATAACAAGAACGGGTCCTTTGTGAAGGACAATGGTCAGCCCACGTGATTCTGCTGTGTAGTCACGTGGAGTCATGTTTATATATAGATAGCTAATGTGCACGCTACTGGATTATAAATATACGTGACAGAAACGATCATTACACCAATATGTCACTGGTTGGTTTCTGCTCTGTAAATAATCGGGTCAGATGATTCCTATGATTGACGTTATGACCCTTGATCTACGATATTAGGATATGATGACATAATTAACCACGTTGACCTGACCACCACATCCCGTTAGTTGCCGCTTACGACAAACGTGGTTTGCTGAAGACCAATTCTAGCCCTGAATACCACGGGTCATCACTGCCTCTAGGTGACTCACTCACTCATGTGACAAAATACGTTATTCAGCATGTGACTAAATTTCAACTCATGATTTAATACAGCACATGATTTGCACATAATCATTTGTACAGCAATTCATATTTCGAGACATACAGGACATGTTAACAATAATGTGTGTGCCATTACCACATTCTGGGGCATACCAGTGTAAGCGGCTGTTTTCACTATTGCCTGTCACTGGAAGTATGTTCCGGATCTCATTGTCCTCACAACAATGATATATCATCGATTTATCGATCTAGGAAAACCCGACATATCCACACTCTAATAATCCACTTCCCTAATGCTGGAGTGGGTAAAACTGTAAAATCCTAATACATTTCCATGTGCGTATATAGCAGTGAACGTGACAACGGCAGTGTTGTGGAGCTTCAGGAAGGAAATGCAGTGAATAATTGAACTAAACCTCGTGATGTAGAGAGAACAGTTTACCACAGCTAATTTAGTCATACAGATACACGCCCCACTCTAGCCACGCCCCACTCTAGCCACGCATTCAGCATTAGTTGAATGTCCGTTTTGAAAGCTAAAGTGACGTGCAAGAGTGAGTGAGTGTAAGCCCAGCTGGAACTCTTCATACACTTCCTGTCACATCTTGACACCCGGATACACGTGTTGTGAAGGCTGAGACATCTCCTGTCACATCCTGACACCCGGATACACGTGTTGTGAAGGCTGAGACATCTCCTGTCACATCTTGACACCTGGATACACGTGTTGTGAAGGCTGAGACATCTTCTGTCACATCCTGACACCCGGATACACGTGTTGTGAAGGCTGAGACATCTCCTGTCACATCTTGACACCTGGATACACGTGTTGTGAAGGCTGAGACATGTTCTGTCACATCTTGACACCCAGATACACGTGTTGTGAAGGCTGAGACATCTCCTGTCACATCCTGACACCTGGATACACGTGTTGTGAAGGCCGAGTCATCTCCTGTCACATCTTGACACCCGCATACACGTGTTATGAAGGTTGAAACATCTCCTGTCACATCCTGACACATGGATACACGTGTTGTGAAGGCCGAGATATCTCCTGTGATGAGATGCGCCATCAACAACAAGCATTAGAATCAATCAGCCCATCGGGTTTTTTTGCAGGTTCACGAGGCACGATGTCCCCCAAGGCATATTGTCACACATTGTAAACAACTCATCACATGGTAGCCCTACCACTAACTGGAACACATGGTAGCCCTACCACTAACTGGAACACATGGTAGCCCTACCACTTACTGCAACTAATGGTAGCACTACCACTAACTGGAACACATGGTAGCCCCACCACTAACTGGAACACATGGTAGACCTACCACTAACTGCAACTAATGGTAGCCCTACCACTAACTGGAACACATGGTAGCCCTACCACTAACTGGAACACATGGTAGCACTACCACTAACTGGAACACATGGTAGCCCCACCACTAACTGCAACTAATGGTAGCACTACCAACAACTGGAACACATGGTAGCCCTACCACTAACAGGAACACATGGTAGCACCACCACTAACTGGAACACATGGTAGCCCTACCACTAACTGGAACAAATGATAGCCCTACCACTAACTGCAACTAATGGTAGCACTACCACTAACTGGAACACATGGTAGCCCTACCACTAACTGCAACTAATGATAGCCCTACCACTAACTGCAACTAATGGTAGCACTACCACCAACTGGAACACATGGTAGCCCCACCACTAACTGGAACACATGGTAGCCCCCTCACCAACTGGTACACATGGTAGCCCCACCACTAACTGGAACACATGGTAGCCCCACCACTAACTGGAACACATGGTAGCCCCCTCACCAACTGGAACACATGGTAGCCCCACAACCAACTGGAACACATGGTAGCCCCCTCACCAACTGAAACACATGGTAGCCCCACCACTAAGTGGAACACATGGTAGCCCTCCCACTTACTGGAACACATGGTAGCCCTATCACTAACTGGAACACATGGTAGCACTACCACTAACTGGAACACATGGTAGCCCTACCACTAACTGCAACTAATGGTAGCACTACCACTAACTGGAACACATGGTAGCCTTACCACTAACTGTAACTAATGGTAGCACTACCACCAA